ACTGACGAGGACCTACCCCATAGCACCGACGAGGACCTACCCCATAGCACTGACGAGGACCTAACCCATAGCACCGACGAGGACCTACCCCATAGCACTGACGAGGACCTACCCCATAGCACCGACGAGGACCTACCCCATAGCACCGACGAGGACCTACCCCATAGCACTACGGTAGGTGGTGCCGAGGATGGAGGCGATGAGCGCCCGCCCATCATGGGGGTCTCCGCCCGCCTTCAGCGTCTTGTTGAGGGCGCGGGCGTAGACATGCACGGCGTCGTACAGGAACGCCGCCTCCGCACGGATCTGTTGGGCACGAGACCCGGAAGATTTAGAACGATTAGATGTAGCGTTCATTTGGCCAGGGCACGTGTCCACGGAGTCAGGGCACGTGTCCACGGAGCCAGGGCACGTGTCCACGGAGTCGGGGATAACATTTTAATGTTCCGATGAGCTGTTTACAGTGACGGGAGAACGTTCACATGGCAAGGGTAAGCGGTTATAGTCCAACCCGTTCTCGCAAATTCGTAAAGTCAATATTGACTTATTAACTACGTGCATAGGTGATATACTAAACATAATAGATACCCTTAAAAAGATTCATAGAAAACACCGACCTTACCTAACCTTGTTAGTATCTTAAGATAAGCATCTTATTGCTTCGTAATTACAATTATTACTTAACCTATACCTATTATAGGTTAGGTAATAATTGTAATTACGAAGCAATAAGATGCTTATCTTAAGATACTAAGTAGGTTAGGTAAGGTCGGTGTTTTCTATGAATCTTTTTAAGGGTATCTATTATGTTAAGTATGTCACCTATGCACATATTTAATAAGTCAATATTGACTTATTAAATTTGCGAGAACGGGTTGATAGTCTGAGAATCGTTCATGGCTTACTTAAACGTTCACTAGGATAGCAATACGTTTATGAAGGTGTGAGAAAAGGTAGATTTGACAGGAGCCCCGTTGATGAGAATAGGGTAATATGTACTGGTTTAGGAAACGTTTAAGTACAGGAAAAGACACACTCTGGGTCCGAGACACTTTTTATAACTGAAAAAAGAAATAATGAGGAAATGGAAGCGTTTGACACTATCAGGAAGATATCGACATAAAAATATTTGGCTAAGGAAACGTTCATTGTGGTTTGGGAACGTTCTGAGGATTAACAAAGGCTCAACTGATTCAGTAAAGTGTTCTTGGAATAAGAAAAATATTAATTAATGTTAATTAACCGTAAAGTATTTAGGGCATAAATTACCTGCTGGAGACGAAATTTGCAACTTTTATGACACAGTTCAAGAATTAGAAGCGATGGTTTAAGGTGATTATGGCTGCACTCTCTCATATTTAACTCAGCAGTTGACACATTAATAGTCAATAATGGTGCCGATTTGGCTGAGAGATTTTGGACCCTGAAGTTCATGTGTTCTGAATGTTGGAGCCCCCCCTACTCGAGCCCCTTCACGCACTCTCTCCCCACCACCTCTCACTACACGCACTCTCCTGGCCCACTCTCACCCACTCTCCTGACCCACTCTCCTCACTCTATCAACCACTATCAACTCATTCTCTCTCTTCTCCCTTTACACACTATTGCCCTCTCTTCGTCCTGAGCGGTAATTCAACCCCCGGCGTTGGTTTGGCCTCATTACAGAGAGTATTGGATGCTATTGTGAGTTCCCGGCTCTCCCACCACTGGCGGCGGGGGCTCCTCCTACCACTGGGGGGGGGGGCTCCTCCCACCACTGTGGGTGGGGGGCTCCTCTCCCCACCACCACTGGGGGCTACTCCCACCACTGGGGGCTCCTCCCACCACTGGGGGCTCCTCCCACCACTGGGGGCTCCTCCCACCACTGGGGGCTCCTCCCACCACTGGGGGCTCCTCCCACCACTGGGGGCTCCTCCCACCACTGGGGGCTTTTCCCACCACTGGGGGCTCCTCCCACCACTGGGGGGCTCCTCCTACTACTGGGGACTCCTCCCACCACTGGGGGGCTCCTCCCACCACTGGGGGGCACCTCCCACCACTGGAGGCTCCTCCCACTACTGGGGGGCTCCTCCCACTACTGGGGGGCTCCTCCCACTACTGGGGGGCTCCTCCCACTACTGGGGGGGCTCCTCCCACTACTGGGGGGCTCCTCCCACCACTGGGGGGCTCCTCCCACCACTGGGGGGCTCCTCCCACCACTGGGGGGCTCCTCCGACCACTGGGGGCTCCTCCCACCACTGGGGGGCTCCTCCCACCACTGGGGGCTCTTCCCACCACTGGGGGGCTCCTCCCACCACTGGGGGGCTCCTCCCACCACTGGGGGGCTCCTCCCACCACTGGGGGGCTCCTCCCACCACTGGGGGCTCCTCCCACCACTGGGGGCTCCTCCCACCACTGGGGGGCTCCTCCCACCACTGGGGGGCTCCTCCCACCACTGGGGGGCTCCTCCCACCACTGGGGGGCTCCTCCCACCACTGGGGGGCTCCTCCCACCACTGGGGGGGCTCCTCCCACCACTGGGGGGCTCCTCCCACCACTGGGGGGGCTCCTCCCACCACTGGGGGGGCTCCTCCCACCACTGGGGGGGCTCCTCCCACCACTGGGTGGCTCCTCCCACCACTGGGGGGCTCCTCCCACCACTGGGGGGCTCCTCCCACCACTGGGGGGCTCCTCCCACCACTGGGGGGCTCCTCCCACCACTGGGGGGCTCCTCCCACCACTGGGGGGCTCCTCCCACCACTGGGGGGCTCCTCCCACCACTGGGGGGCTCCTCCCACCACTGGGGGGCTCCTCCCACCACTGGGGGCTCCTCCCACCACTGGGGGCTCCTCCCACTACTGGGCTCCTCCCACCACTGGGGGGCTCCTCCCACCACTGGGGGGCTTCTCCCACCACTGGGGGCTCCTCCCACTACTGGGCTCCTCCCACCACTGGGGGGCTCCTCCCACCACTGGGGCGCTCCTCCCACCACTGGGGGGCTCCTCCCACCACTGGGGGCTCCTCCCACCACTGGGGTCTGAAAATTATGATATTGATAATGTTGGTGATAATGAAGATGAATGAAGATAATAGTGATGATGATGAGGATGATGACGTTGGAAGACAAAAGTTGACTCACGTTCTTCATGCCGCCTATCTGGTGGAGGGCGTTGGGGTGGTTGAAGGGCGGCTTCTCCAGGTAGGCGTTGACGTTGGCGGCGAACACCTCGAAGGTCGGGGCCGGGGACGGCACTACTCCTGCGGGAGGCAGACATGGGTCCGTGTATGTGCGCACACACACACACACACACACGCACACACACACACACACGCACATACACACACACGCGCACATACACTCACGCGCACACACGCGCACACAAGAGGGGTGGCGATAAACCAAGCAGACTTTGAAGATATTGAAATTCCCAGAGAAGAGGTTAGGCGGTATCTGCTTGATCTTGAAGTGACTAAGACTGTTGGACCTGACGGAATCTCACCATGGATGCTGAAACAGGGGGCAGAAGAACTTTGCTTGCCACTAACAAGTCACTGGAAACGGGAGGTCGACCAGAGAGCTGGAAGACTACTAACACAGTCCCAATCTACAAAAAGGGAGATAGGCAGGAGGCCCTAAACTACAGGCGGGTGTCCTTGTATACCATACAAGATGATGGAGAAGATCGTTACAAAAAGCCTGGTAGCACATCTGGAGAGAAGGGACTTTGTAACACACCGCCAGCATGGGTTCAGGGAAGGCAAGTCGTGTCTCAGAAGCTTAATAGAATTCTATGACCAAGCAACAATCATTAAGCAAGTAAGAGAAGGATGGGCACACTGCATTTTCTTGGACTGTTGGAAAACCTTTGACACAGTACCCCATAAGAGACTGTTGCATAAGTTGGAGAAACAAGCTGGAGTAAGTGGTAGGGTGCTCCAGTAGATAAGGGAGTACCTAAACAATAGGAAGCAGAGAGTTACTGTGAGAGGTGAGACCTCAGACTGGCGTGATGTCACCAGCGGAGTCCCGCAGGGTTCTGTACTCGGTCTTATCCTGTTTCTGATATACGTGAATGATCTTCCATAAGGTATAGACTCATTCCTCTCAATGTTTGCTGATGATGTTAAAATTATGAGAAGGATTAAGATAGAGAAGGACAGCAAGAGGCTACAGGATGACCTGGCCAGACGGGAGGAACGTCTGGCCAGGTCAACAAATGTCTACTAGAGAAGACATGATCACTACCTACAAAATTCTCAGAGGAATTGACAGGATAGATAAAGATAACACACAGAAATCACAATAGCGTGATGTATCAAATGAACAAATGCACAAGGGCCGTGACGAGGATTCAAACCTACGTCCGAGATCATCCCAGACGCTGTCTTAATCGACTGAGCTACGATTTATGATTTCTGTATGTAATGAAGTAAGGGTGAAGAGGGAGAACGGCCTATTGACATAGCTCGAGTGCATGGGGGAGTTGTGTAAAACCCTGGTTTGTGCCTCGGAGAGGCTGCAGGATCCAGTAAGTTCAGTAGAACTTCGGTTTCAACTCTTTTTGACCATGTCGTAGCTCAGTCGATTAAGGCAGCGTCTGGAATGCTCCCGGACGTAGGTTTGAATCCTCGTCACGGTCCTTGTGGATTTGTTCAGATAAAGATAAACTGTTTAACACGGGTGGTACGCGAACAAGGGGACACAGGTGGAAACTGATTAACCAAATACTAAATGAGCCACAGGGACGTTAGAAAGAATTTTTTCAGTGGTGTCAGAGTAGTTAACAGATGGAATGCATTAGGCAGTGATTTGGTGGAGGCTGACTCCATACACAGTTTCAAATGTAGATATGATAGAGCCCAGTAGGCTCAGGAATCTGTACACCAGTTAATTGACAGTTGACAGAAGGGATCAAAGAGCCAGAGCTCAACCACCGCAAGCACAACTAGGTGAGTACACACACACACACATACACATACACATACACACACACACACACACACACACACACACACACACAACAAATGGCTGTTGAAGTTCAACCCGAGTAAATGCAAAGTAATGAAACTAGGCAGTGGAAACAGGAGGCCAGGCACAGGATACAGAATAGGAGATGAAGTACTTCATGAAACAGACAGAGAGAAAGATCTAGGAGTTGATATCACACCAAACCTGTCTCCTGAAGCCCACATAAAGAGAATAACGTCTGCGGCATATGCGAGGCTGGCTAACATCAGAACGGCGTTCAGGAACCTGTGTAAGGAATCATTCAGAATCTTGTACACCACATATGTAAGACCAATCCTGGAGTATGCGGCCCCAGCATGGAGCCCGTACCTTGTCAAGCACAAGACGAAGCTGGAAAAAGTCCAAAGGTATGCTACTAGACTAGTCCCAGAACTAAGAGGCATGAGTTATGAGGAAAGGCTGCGGGAAATGCACCTCACGACACTGGAAGACAGAAGAGTAAGGGGGGACATGATCACAACCTACAAAATCCTCAGGGGAATCGACCGGGTAAACAAGGATGAACTATTCAACACTGGTGGGACGCGAACAAGGGGACACAGGTGGAAGCTGAGTACCCAAATGAGCCACAGAGACGTTAGAAAGAACTTTTTCAGTGTCAGAGTAGTTAGTAAATGGAATGCATTAGGAAGTGATGTGGTGGAGGCTGACTCCATACACAGTTTCAAATGTAGATATGATAGAGCCCAATAGGCTCAGGAATCTGTACACCAGTTGATTGACGGTTGAGAGGCGGGACCAAAGAGCCAGAGCTCAACCCCCGCAAGCACAATTAGGTGAGTACAATTAGGTGAGTACACACACACACACACACACACACACACACACACACACACACACACACACACACCTGGGATTACTGGCGAGTCAAAACTTTTATGCAAGAGACTGGAAGCATTACCTGATGATTTAGATAGTGAAAGTCGTGAGACAGAGGCTGACGCGTGGAATTTAAAGAATTTAAGAGGATTTGCATTTCGAATGAGAAAAATGAAAGACTTGCACAATCGTTCTAGTAACATTATTTTTTTTTTGTGAGGAAGCTAATGCACAGTACAGCGAGTTCACTGTAGATGGTGCACTATCGAGAAGATACTATACAAAATTTCTTGAATTTAATTGAACTGGATTGTGATCACTGTAAAAATTGAGACAAAGAAAATGCAGAAAGATTTGTTATAGCAATTAAATTATTTAGTCTTGCTAAACAAATTCTGGCAATTAATAATTCTAACAAAATCCAGAACTATTGTTTATAATATGATCATTTAATTTTTATTAAACATTTTTAATAAATAAATTAAGTTTCTTTTAATGATATATACGAACAAGGTAATTGTTTAAACAGTTGCAATGAATGAGTTAGTCCAAATCTCCCCAGATCAACACCATAGACTTAAAGAACACGAGAGAAGTGTTAAGTCTGCAGACACTATCAATGCTCTCTTCTGTCATGTGAGGGATTCCAATCATCCTATTGATTGGTCTTTCTCCAAAATAATCTTTCCTGCCTCTACTCTACACAGATGCCGTCTTGTTGAATCGGCTTTAATACACAATGTACCCAACATGAACTTGAGTCCTGGGTTTGTTGCTGTGGACTCTTCCCTTTCACAGTATATACTTAAATGCTCGAATCTTTCTAACAAACGTGACCTAACATAAGCTTGCCCTTCCATTTATCTTTCTTTCTCTTTCATTTTCTTTCTCTCTTTTTTTCTGTTCATTGTTTTCTCTTACGTTCCCTTACTATCCTCTTCTTATTCCTATTATTATCTCCTCATTCGGTGGTTATAATAGGAGCTGCCTCGTATGGGCCAATAGGCCCTCTGCAGTTCTTATTCCTACTACTATCCCCTCTACTACACTTTACTTTGCTCCTCACCTCTCTCTTGCCTATTTATTGCCTGCATCTACTTCCTCGTCACCTTACGGGCTATTCATGCCCGTGTCACCTTTTGGGTGGCTTAATCTTCATCAATCAATCAATTTCCTCATCACAATCGACTTGAGAATGGTCCAGGACGGACCGAAACGTCGTCGTCCCTTCACCTTCTAGTGTGTGGTCTGGTCAACATACTTTAGCCACGTTATTGTGACTTATCGCCTGCACATCAACACCATAGTTTTCCACCCTATTCATGTGGTGTACTTATGCTGTTTGACCAATTTTTCCAGATCTTTACCAGTTTGGCCAATGTATACTTTTACACAGCTCAGGCAGGGAATTATATAAATGCAAATGCACATTTATACTACTGACTTCTTAATTAATAAATTCAAAAGAATATAATATGAATACTAAAGTATTTGCAAAACATGAGAGATCTTTGTAGTGTTATCGGTAAATGGGTGACACAAAATATTATTGTATTAAGGCCTTCCTCTCAGACTATTGTTATGGAATCATCAGTTTGCGTGATTTAAAGCGTTATCAATCAAATGTTTTGGGTAATTACAGACAGGCCACAGTGTCATTTACTTTCAGTAAATAACAGTGAAATATATGTATGAAGAATCACAAAGAAATCACACTGGCGTGATGTATATCAATGAAAGTTACTTTGAGGGAATGGAGTGACTCGAAACCTCCGTTTTGGTGACTCCCAGACACCTGCCCTAAGCGACTCAGCCACGATGGTACAAAAGTCGGCCAACTCGGAACTCTTCTGAATTCACTGGGAGGTTCCGGAGGCCCAGTAAATAACCATTAAAAATAAATAATAAATACACACACACACACACACACACACACACACACACACACACACACACACACACGCACACACACACGCTACTCACCCAGAAAGTTTTGGAAGGCAGCCTGCACTGTGGAGTTGGTGTGCTCGTTGAGCAGGTCCCTGAGGTATTTATCCGGCTTATTGCGGTCATACTGGCTGAGTGTCACGCCCACCACGAAGTACTCTCCTGCGGGACGACAACAACACTATTAGGTCCTTCACTCTTCGCTCCTGTACTCTGGACGATGGTTATTTAGGGTTTAGGTGTGTACTTTTGGTGAGAGTTCTTACTGCGTCCCAAGGTACTTTGCTGGCCCCTAGTACTCACGTTTCCAGGATGCTCCTGTGTGTCCTTGTACTCACGTCTCTGGTGAGGTGCTACGAGTCCTTGTACTCACGTCTCTGGTGAGGTGCTACGAGTCCTTGTTCTCATGTCTCTGGTGAGGTGCTACGAGTCCTTGTACTCACGTCTCTGGTGAGGTGCTACGAGTCCTTGTACTCACGTCTCTGGTGAGGTGCTACGAGTCCTTGTACTCACGTCTCTGGTGAGGTGCTACGAGTCCTTGTTCTCATGTCTCTGGTGAGGTGCTACGAGTCCTTGTTCTCACGTCTCTGGTGAGGTGCTACGAGTCCTTGTTCTCACGTCTCTGGTGAGGTGCTACGAGTCCTTGTTCTCATGTCTCTGGTGAGGTGCTACGAGTCCTTGTACTCACGTCTCTGGTGAGGTGCTACGAGTCCTTGTTCTCATGTCTCTGGTGAGGTGCTACGAGTCCTTGTACTCATGTCTCTGGTGAGGTGCTACGAGTCCTTGTACTCATGTCTCTGGTGAGGTGCTACGAGTCCTTGTTCTCACGTCTCTGGTGAGGTGCTACGAGTCCTTGTTCTCACGTCTCTGGTGAGGTGCTACGAGTCCTTGTTCTCACGTCTCTGGTGAGGTGCTACGAGTCCTTGTACTCACGTCTCTGGTGAGGTGCTACGAGTCCTTGTATTCACGTCTCTGGTGAGGTATTACGAGTCCTTGTACTCATGTCTCTGGTGAGGTGCTACGAGTCCTTGTTCTCACGTCTCTGGTGAGGTGCTACGAGTCCTTGTTCTCATGTCTCTGGTGAGGTGCTACGAGTCCTTGTACTCACGTCTCTGGTGAGGTGCTACGAGTCCTTGTTCTCATGTCTCTGGTGAGGTGCTACGAGTCCTTGTTCTCACGTCTCTGGTGAGGTGCTACGAGTCCTTGTTCTCACGTCTCTGGTGAGGTGCTACGAGTCCTTGTTCTCATGTCTCTGGTGAGGTGCTACGAGTCCTTGTACTCACGTCTCTGGTGAGGTGCTACGAGTCCTTGTTCTCATGTCTCTGGTGAGGTGCTACGAGTCCTTGTTCTCACGTCTCTGGTGAGGTGCTACGAGTCCTTGTTCTCATGTCTCTGGTGAGGTGCTACGAGTCCTTGTACTCACGTCTCTGGTGAGGTGCTACGAGTCCTTGTTCTCATGTCTCTGGTGAGGTGCTACGAGTCCTTGTTCTCATGTCTCTGGTGAGGTGCTACGAGTCCTTGTACTCACGTCTCTGGTGAGGTGCTACGAGTCCTTGTACTCATGTCTCTGGTGAGGCGCTACGAGTCCTTGTACTCATGTCTCTGGTGAGGTGCTACGAGTCCTTGTATTCACGTCTCTGGTGAGGTGCTACGAGTCCTTGTATTCACGTCTCTGGTGAGGTGCTACGAGTCCTTGTACTCACGTCTCTGGTGAGGTGCTACGAGTCCTTGTACATTTACGAAGCCAAATGTGATAGTAAAGAAGTTTTTCATAACTTACAGCATGAAAAACTTACATTCCTTAAAGCAGGCTGCGTCTGGGATGCTCTCGGACGCAGGTTCGAATCCTCGTCACGGCCCTTGTGGATTTGCTCTTTGGTTGCGTTTTTTTTTTTTGAGGCGTCTAATTCCCGCTCAAGAACTTCACAATTATAATTAGCCTTCCATAGTTTATTGGGCCGTGCGAGGCAGCTCCTGTTTACGTCCAACCTCTTCCACACACTCGCGTCCAGTCAATTGGACTGATGGGTAGAGCGAAGGCCTCGGTTTTTACAAGTGATTGGGCACTATTTCTTCATTTGTCATACGAAATTTCTCTTTCCTAAAGCCCTTTGTAAGGGCTTTATAGTCATATATTGACATAAAGCTGCTGCCAGCTGTTGTGTACGTTGCTTTATCTCTCGTTATTATTCACTCAATGCTTAAAGTTTTCCAAACACTTTGATTATTTAATGTAAAATGTTATCTTATTTATCAAGTCTCCAATCTTATTTTCGGATCTTTGTTTACCTATTTGTATTTTTATTATTAGTATATTTTGGTAGCAGTCTTGTAAACATATGTTGTTAAATATGACCGAAAAAGTCAGATTAATAATTCTAACACGAATTTTCTCAATATTTCTTATGTTTCTTTTTACTGTCGATGGTAATTGAAAAATCAATTCTCCAAAATTCACTTTTATTTCTAGTCTGACGCGACGCTTGAACGCGTTTCGTAATAACGTATTACATTTTCAAAGACTTTAGTTTACCCACACACACAACTGTAACCTGAAAACACTTAACAGAGTTTTACTAATTTTAACGCTTAACAGCTTGTCTTATACACTCGCATTTGGGTGAGGTGATTTGTTTTTTGTTTTTATTTGTTTTTTCTAAATATAATTTTTTCTTATTTGATTACATTATTTCGTGGTTTATTTGTTATGAATTATATTATATTCCTGTCATTAAATCTTTATATACATATGTAAACTTTAATAGTGTTCCTTTTTTACTAGAGAATGTAGGCTGAGTTTTATTTGTTTCTCCATGAAGAGGGTTCGTAATATAAAGAATTAACTTGGTCAATCTTCTTTGTATCCATTGAGGAGGATTTTCTTCCATTCAGTAGTACAGCGTCCTGAACTGTACTACATAATTAAGGTTACAGGAAGACAATATTGACGGATGACGTTAAAGTTCATATTACCAGCGTGTCGAGATATGAATCCTCTAGCTGTTTTACCCTTATTTTGAACATTCAGATATTGTCTTTAAATATTATCTCTAATGATCATAGTTACCTGATATCTTTCAGAGAGACATTTAATTGGCAATTTCACTGCTGTTTATGTGATATCTGGTACTTGTGTTCTTTTCACCAAGGTTTAGGGGCCCTTCATTTGCCAGAAGTTAGCAACACTTGCTAGCCAGACCACACACTAGAAAGTGAAGGGATGACGACGTTTCGGTCCGTCCTCAAGTCGATTGTGTTCAGGGAAAGAGAAGGCCAATTCTCACAATCGACTTGAAAATGGTCCGAAACGTCGTCGTCCCTTCACTTTCTAGTGTGTGGTCTGGTCAACATATTTCAGCCACGTTATTGTGACTCCTCGTCTGCAACACTTGCTAGTTTCTGGACCTGTCTGAATATATTGCCCGCCCTTTTTCAGTGACTTTTGCAGCTTGGATAATAATGATCAACACTCCTATTGCAAAGTTATTTATGAATATGGACAACAACAAAGGTTTTAGAATAAAGATATAAGGGTTTATATCTGATCGTGCACGGGAATTTTGAGAGTAAAGAATGAAAACAGGTTTACAGTCCACAGTGAAGATAAAACCTCAGAAAACCCATTCGGAGAGACACAGATGATCGAGGCAAGTTCAGTGATGCAAAAAACACATAAACTAAGAAATACAAATAAGATATGAAATAATACAGTGCAAAGAATGTTGTGAATAATGCTCTCACCGTGTTGGAAGAGCCCCTTCTCCTCCATGATGGTCAAGAGCCCCAGGAACTCGTAGTAGTGACCCAGCACCAGGTAGACTGGGGGAGGAGAACAATATACACAAGCTGGTTACAATTATATATATATATTTCATCTCTGTAAACGCACATGAATCATATTGTGTAGTTGAGCGCTCCGTGACTCACTGAACTAGCTGTGAGACAACAGGCCTCGAACCCTGCGTATAATGTATGACCGACGGGGGATATATATATGCTGCTTATCATTGTAATTGCCTTATAGTCGCCTGAGGAAGAGGGCTCTATAGCTCACTATACTCTATATGGTGTCAACAACCTGGTTGATCCGACCAGCAGCTGGTAGAATGGTCAGAGACCACGCTGCAAGGACGGTGGACTTCGAAACCATGTCAGGTTATCCACAGGCTACACACCAACAGTGGGTGGCAACAGGAGGCAGTAAAGGGTGGCAACAGGAGGCAGTAAAGGGTGGCAACAGGAGGCAGTAAAGGGTGGCAACAGGAGGCAGTAAAGGGTGGCAACAGGAGCCAGTAAAGGGTGGCAACAGGAGGCAGTAAAGGGTGGCAACAGGAGGCAGTAAAGGATGGCAACAGGAGGCAGTAAAGGGGTGGCAACAGGAGGCAGTAAAGGGTGGCAACAGGAGGCAGTAAAGGGTGGCAACAGGAAGCAGTAAAGGATGGCAACAGGAGGCAGTAAAGGGGTGGCAACAGGAGGCAGTAAGGGGTGGCAACAGGAGGGAGTAAAGGGTGTGTGCTGGAAGTAGAAAACTTGAGGCTGGAGTGAATGACAGAAGTTTGTGTTTCAGTAACAAGAGTGGACACGGGCCTCGACCTTACCTCCTCAAGGAGCACTACACATCTTGAGGTTATCTTGAGATAACCTACCACGAGTCTACCACGAGTCTACCATCTACCACGAGTCCTGGAAACTAAGTGGAAAGTGCACGTGTGACGGACTACACATTAGTGCACGTGTGACGGACTACACATTAGTGCACGTGTGAGGGACTACACATTAGTGCACGTGTGACGGACTACACGTTAGTGCACGTGTGACGGACTACACGTTAGTGCACGTGTGAGGGACTACACGTTAGTGCACGTGTGAGGGACTACACGTTAGTGCACGTGTGAGGGACTACACGTTAGTGCACGTGTGAGGGACTACACGTTAGTGCACGTGTGAGGGACTCCACGTTAGTGCACGTGTGAGGGACTACACGTTAGTGCACGTGTGAGGGACTACACGTTAGTGCACGTGTGAGGGACTACACGTTAGTGCACGTGTGAGGGACTACACGTTAGTGCACGTGTGAGGGACTACACGTTAGTGCACGTGTGAGAGGATACACATTAGTGCACGTGTGAGAGGATACACATTAGTGCACGTGTGAGAGGATACACATTAGTGCACGTGTGAGAGGATACACATTAGTGCACGTGTGAGGGACTACACATTAGTGCACGTGTGAGAGGATACACATTAGTGCACGTGTGAGTGGATACACATTAGTGCACGTGTGAGAGGATACACATTAGTGCACGTGTGAGAGGATACACATTAGTGCACGTGTGAGAGGATACACATTAGACTCTTACACTAACACAAACGTGAATGAATGTAGAAAACGGGGGAATTATTATCTGAACATCAACCTAAGCGATGATAGACTGATAGAGAAAATCTGAAATGTCTTATTCATCAAACATTAACCTAAGTAGACGCCAATTTAGTTACCTGTTGGTTAGTTTAACAGTTTAACGTATGTCTTGAGAAATCGCCAAGCTATTTGATTGAGCTTCCCATGTGAGTGCAGCCTTAACCAACCTCTGATTGTTTAATTAATCACTGAACTATATGTTTAACAGATCTCTCACCCTGTCTATGGAGGACAGAAGAAAATGTATATATATATATGCTGGTTAGCATTGTGAATGTCTGGCCATGTCTGTGGTAGGACGAAATAAAACTGGACAGGGTATATATATGTGGTCATTGGAAGGTAGTGTTTTGTTACTAAGATGTTTGCAGTTTACTTAGGTCCTAATGAGGTCATGAAACGTATTATTTTATTTTGATTTTCTTAAGTAAATGTGAGTCCGAAATCAAGTAATTTCTTATTATAAGGAAAATCATTTTTTTGGTTTTTAGTAACCAACAGAAACTCACAGTACGAAAAAAATAACAATAATTTGACTATGTACTCATATTTTCTCCTATTTTTCTTTGCATTATTCGTCCCTCGCATTTTCTTGTCTGTCAGTGTGTGTCTCTGTTTTCTCTCTCTCTCTCTCTCTCTCTCTCTCTCTCTCTCTCTCTCTCTCTCTCTCTCTCTCTCTCTCTCTCTCTCTCTCTCTCTCTCTCTCTCTCTCTCTCTCCCCCCCCCTCTCCCTCCCTACTTACCCTCCACTAACATGCAAACTCGCTCCTGTGTGTTCTCATTAGCCTCTCCGTCCGCCTGTCTTCACATATGCATGAATCATTATACCTGAAAACTGAGGATCAAGTGCATCAGCCAGACTCTGCAGCTTCAGTAATGCTAAGATCTACGTACCTACAGAAGACCAAACTAACCCTTCCTGCTCTCCTCCTTCATATCTGCCTAATATCTGTCTAATAACCCTTTAATACCTGTCTAATACCTGCACAATACCTGTGTTACGAACAAACAACCTCTGAAGCACTACCATGCACGAACCAAAGCCCAAGTGACACCCCCGGAGCCCGACCAGTTAGTACCGGTGCTCGTAATTATGGCCGGGCGATATATGCAATTTGAGAATACTTGGCGGTGAATGTTTCAACTTAATGAGTTGAATGCATGTATTTCCCTGTTGGGTGATATCTACAACGCCGTGATCATGTCCTCCAGCTGGCTGAGAAGCTAGGAACTCCCATGTCAGTTTTACAGAGACATGTGGAGCATAGTTGGTGCCTGCAAAGCACAGGAGATTACTGTAGAGTACAGGGGATTACTGCAGAGCACTTGGGTTGCCGGAGGGTACAAAGGGAACTGCAGAGCACAGAGGATTACTGTAGGGCACAAGGGATTACTGTAGGGCACAAGGGATTACTGTAGGGCACAAGGGATTACTGTAGGACACAAGGAATTACTGTAGGACACAAGGGATTAATGTAAGGCACAAAGGGTTGCAGTAGAGCATGATGGGTACAAGACAGAACACGGGTGTTGCAGGACAGGTGTCCCACCAGTCCGTCCTGCTAAGGTTCCTCAACGTCAAGAAACTGTCGCACTAAAGTGCCCTAATCCTAGCCTACCAGAGGACCCTGGGGAGGCACCCTGGGTGCCATGTGGTCAGTAGCCTTCACTGGCACTCTGGGGGGGCATTATGAGGATGTGTCTAGAAAACGAGAGCGAATGAAGTAATTGCAAAGCTCCAGGTACCTTATACGAAATGTTGATATATCGTCCTCAGAAATATTGTGTGTGTGTGCCAGTTGATTGATATTTGAGAGGCGGGACCAGAGAGCCAGAGCTCAACCCCCGCAAGCGCAACTAGGTGAGTACACACACACACACACTCACGCACGCACGTACGCACGCACGCACTCTCGCGACTGTGAGAGCACACAACCATAATTTTTACGAAGGGAGCAAGAGGTGTGAGTGTTTACCACGCCGGGGACCAGGAGCCAGGGGGGGGGGAGGGGGGGGGTAGGGGGAGGGGCTACGAAAACATTACATTTAACTGGCGGCAGTAACCTGCTGTTTATGGACTCTCTCCTCGTTCTTACGGAGCACAACTTTCATGACGGATGCTCTCGTGACTGTAGAGGTCTCATTACACTCTCTTGCTGCCTTCATGTATCTCTCTCTCTCTCTCTCTCTCTCTCTCTCTCTCTCTCTCTCTCTCTCTCTCTCTCTCTCAGAGATAATTAAGTTCCTTAGATACTAGACTCTTACACAAGTACACACACACACACTGAGGGTAATTAACAAATGGAATGCATTAGGCAGTGATGTGGAGGCAACTCCATACTGGTATATATATAGAATCAATAAAGAATGTGACATAAACGTGACGTCAAATATAGAAATTGACATAGAAAGTTACGTCAAATATACAATGTAACAGAACTCAGACGGTCATTTCCCCACAAGAAATGATGGATTTCTTCAATGAGAACTGTTGGGAGGCCCCTGGCAAATGTTGTCCTTCTCGAGAGGGAAGACAATGACAGACATTGGGCACAGCCATGGTTTACCCCTCGATGTGAGGGAGCTAAAGGCATAGAAAAACTACAAGAACAAGAGAACAGCAGAGCGCAGAGAGGGGGACAAGAGAGCCACGAAGGAGTAACTCAGAGTGAGAAGAAAAGCAGAAAAGCAGTTTGAAAATAACATTGCAGCCAAGGCAAGGACCCAACCCAAATTGCTTCACAGCTCATATCAGGGGGAAAACAACAGTTAAGGAACAGGTGATGAAACTGATGATAGGACAGGACCTTCCCTGTCATTCACTACGAATGACAGGGAAGTGTGTGAAGAACTCAACAGAGTGTTCTAGGAGGTCTTTATAATAGAGCAAGGAGATGTTCCTGAGCTTAGTGGGGTGGAGCCAAACCAAGCAACACTGGAGAACTTTGAGATAACTAGAGATGAACTATAAAAACGCCTAATGGAGCGATACTCGACTAAGTCTGTGCGGGCCAGATAAGATCTCCCCTTGGATTCACAGAGAAGTAGAAAAAACTTTGTGCTGGCCGCTTACTGTGATATATAACAAGTCATTGATAACAGGAGAACTACCATAGTTGGAAGACAGCTAATGTAGTGCCAATATACAAAAATGGAAAGAGGAGCCATTAAACTACAGACCTGTGTCCCTTGCATACTATACAAGGTAGAGGAAAAGATCCCAAGGTAAACGCTAGTTGGCCATCTGCAGAGAAGGGACCTTGTAACAACACAAACAGGGGTTCAGGGATGACAAATCCTGCCTCACATAATTGATCGAGTTCTATGAATGTGCGACTGAGATCACACAAGATAGAGAAAGGTGGACGTATTATGTATTCTTGAACTGCCAGAAAGCTTTCGATGTTACCATTGAAGTTCCACGATAGTCAGTTCTGGGGGCCAATCCTGTTCCTAATCAATGTAAACGACCTTCCAGAGGGGACAGATTTGCCTCTGAATGTTTGCTGACGATGCAAGATTTATGTGGAGATTAAATATAATAGAAAACTGTGCGAAACTACAAGAGGACCTGGATAAATTGAAAATACGGTTTCTCGAGTGGCTACTAGAGTTCAACTCTAGCAAGTGCAAAATAATATCACGGGGTATTGGAACTCGGAGACCGGTCACAAGGTTTTGCATGTGAGAGGAAATCTTATTGGCATCGGACATAGAAAAAGACTTGGGGTTAATATTACCCCCAACTTGTCACCAGTGACCCACATCAAACGAGTATCATCAGCTGCATTTTGAAGGTTGGCTAATATGCAAACCGTCTTTAGCAATCTTTAAGAGTCAATCGGAATCCTCTATATTGTTTATAAGTCCAATTCTAGAATATGTGGCACCAAAATGGAGTTCTCATCTTGTTAAACACAAAGCGAAGCTGGAGAAAAGTTCAGAGGTATGCCACCAGACTAGTTCCAGATCTGAGAGGTATGAGTTATGAGGAAAGATTATAGGCGTTAAACCTCACGTAAGTGAAAGACAGAAGACACAAGCATCACTCCAGCGATCATTTACTCCTAAGCTGACTCGCATCTGGAACTTGTTCGCTCAACAGGTTGACACACGGGAGATCAGGTCAACTGATCACATGAAGGCTCTGGCACACAGTTGGCTACAGGCTCATCCTCTTCCTTATATGATTGTTACCGAATGTTGTTAATGAATAACGTTATTCTTATCGATGCGTCTAATCGGTTCATGAAATAAATGGGTCTCAAGGAGTAGGTTTCAACTGAGCTGACGTAGGATTACAGCTCTCGCTTGCAGTTTCACCAGGTACTTCATTTGGCAGCCCTTATGAACACTAGTCTCAATTTAATAAAAGGGAGACATAACTACCATATAAAAAGTCACGCTATTGTGATTTCTGTGTGTAATACCACGGTGAGTTCACTTATTCGAGACACAGCGACACACATTGACACAAAGTTTTACTTGAGAGGAAATCCTATTAGAATCGCACAGAGAAAAAATACTTGTGGAGTATTATTACCTCAAACCTGACTCCAGAAGCCCGCATCAAATGAACTCCTCCAGTTGCATACGGAAGATTGGCTGATGTGGGGAACTAATACATTGGAATCTGAACTAAGAGCCGTTCAAAGTCTTTTATGTCATTCTCTCTCTCTCTCTCTCTCTCTCTCTCTCTCTCTCTCTCTCTCTCTCTCTCTCTCTCTCTCTCTCTCTCTCTCTCTCTCTCACCCTCACCTTGCTCTTTTAGTCAGTCTTAAAATTTCAAGAAAATTGCTAACGTGTCAGTTTGTCTCTCGCAGAGATTGATACCTCAGATACTAGACTCTCATCCATCATCCGGGCGCTCGTGCACCCACTTACACACTGACAGCCGTGTGTGGCGTGTCACTCCGTGTGTGTGTGTGTGCGTGCGTGTGTGTGTGTGTGTGTGTGTGTGTGTGTGTGTGTGTGTGTGTGTGTGTGTGTGTGTGTGTGTGTGTGTGTCACACAGCCGTGTATCACACACACAAAGTGACACACTGGCACACACATTCTCTGACACAGATTCATGCAGTGACACACATCAAGAAGATATCATCAGCGGCATATGCTAGGTTGGCCAACAGAAGAACTGCCTTTAGAAACTTGTGTAAGGAATCATTCAGAACCTTGTATACCACATATGTCAGACCAATCCTGGAGTATGCAGCTCCAGCCTGGAGTCCGTATCCAGTCAAGCACAAGAATAAATTGGAGAAGGTTCAGAGGTATGCCACCAGACTAGTACCCGAGCTGAGGAGTATGAGCTACGAGGAAAGAATAGGGGAACTAAACCTCACGTTGCTGGGAGACTGAAGAGTTCGGGGAGGAGATATGATCACCACATACAAGATTCTTAGAGGAATTGACATGGTAGATAAAGACAATTTATTTAACACACGGGACACACGCACAAGAGGACACAGGTGGAAATGTAGTACCCAGATGAGCCATAGAGACATTAGAAAGAACTTTTTCAATGTCAGAGTAGTAAACAAATGGAATGCATTAGGCAGAGATGTGGTGGAGGCTGACTCCATACATAGTTTCAAATGTAAATATGATAGAGCCCAATAGGTTCAGGAATCTGTAGACCAGTTGATTGACAGTTGTGAGGTGAGACCAAGGAGCCGAAGCCCCCCCTCCCCAAGCACAATTAGATGAAAACACACACACACACACACACACACACACACACACACACACACACACACACACACACTGTGTGTGTGTGTGTGGCCGAGCGGACAGCACGCTGGACACGTGATCCTTTGGCCCCGTGTTCAATCCCGGGCACCGGCCAGAAACGATGGGCAGAGTTTCTTTCACCCTATGTCCCTGTTACCTAGCATTAAATAGGTACTTGGGAGTTAGTCAGCTGTCACGGGCTGCTTCCTGGTATGTGTGTGTGTGAGGTATTTGGAAAAAATAGTAGTAGTAAAAACAGTTGAGAGGCGGGCCGAAAGAGCAGATCTCAACCCCCGCATGGACAACTAGGTGAATACACACACACACACACACACAACACACACACACACACACACACACACACACACACACACACACACACACACACACACACACACACACACACACACACACACACACACACACACACACACACACACACACACACACACACACACACACACACACACACACACACACACACACACACACAAACACACACACACACACACACACACACACACACACACACACACACAATGAGATTCCAAGAGACAAAATAGGAAGAACAAGTTGGCATTTAAAATATATAAAGACAGCAAAACCAGTGAGAGTCACAATATAAATGGGAGAGAGAGAGAGAGAGAGAGAGAGAGAGAGAGAGAGAGAGAGAGAGAGAGAGAGAGAGAGATGAATATATAAGAATAAGTAGAAAAGTAAGAGAGAAGCAGAATGAAAAAAATATAACATTGAAGACGAAAGAGAAAGCTAAGCCTCTTCACAGCCTCCTCAGAAGGAAAGCAGTGATTACCAGTTCATTCCTCAGTGAATGAACTGATAATCAGGATGAAGAAGAGAGAAAACAAGGCAGGAAAGTATACTAAGTACCAAATGAAAGTTTTCATGGCGTATTTATGGAAGAAAATGCACAAAGGAATGAAGATAGGAGTAATAGATAATTCACAGTCTAAAGGAACAGGACCGAAAACTTACAAGGTACTTACAACTTGGAATTAATCTGAATAGGTTTCAGTGAGGAATAAAGTATGTACATTATTCCTACCAAACCTTCAACCTCTCACTCTTCCCACTTCCTCTCTATTCCTCCCTCCCTCCCTCTATGTCCCTCTCTTCCTCCCTCTACCCCCCTCTCTTCCTCCCTCTTCTCATTCTATCCTTGCCTCTCCCTCTTCCCCTGGCTCACTTCTGCAGTCCATATAGGTCTCCTGAAGCATGGAGACGAAGGGGTTGCTGTCGTAGCCGTGGTGGTAGGTGGCGGCCCAGCTCCTGGTCGCCAGCAGCGTGATGTTGTGGCTGGGCAGAGTCCTGACGATCGTTCGAGCCACCCGCCCGAAGTTCTCGTCCGGGGAGTTGTTGTAGAAGAACGTCACCTGGCGGTGGAGGAGAGAGGAATACTGCTTTATCTTCACCGTGGACAGTGCCAGCCAGGCAAGAGGTAGGAGGTGTAGGTGTATAGGAGTACTGATGTCGCTTGTGGGTGTGTAAGGGAGTAGTGATGTCGCTTGTAAGTGTGTAAGGGAGTAGTGATGTCACTTGTGGGTGTGTAAGGGAGTACTGATGTCGCTTGTGGGTGTGTAAGGGAGTAGTGATGTCGCTTGTAAGTGTGTAAGGGAGTAGTGATGTCGCTTGTGGGTGTGTAAGGGAGTACTGATGTCGCTTGTGGGTGTGTAAGGGAGTAGTGATGTCGCTTGTAAGTGTGTAAGGGAGTAGTGATGTCACTTGTGGGTGTGTAAGGGAGTACTGATGTCGCTTGTGGGTGTGTAAGGGAGTAGCCCATCCTCTCGAGTGTTCCCAACGTCACTAAACTGATGTACCAAATTACCCGAACCTAACCTAACCAAGGACTCACGAATAAAAAATGGAACATCAGGGCAATTTTGCGAGCCGCTAAGATTGTATAGTCCATCAGTTTTTTGGCTCTAGGGGGATTTATGTGTCAAAATACGATGTTCTATTGGTGAGGCCGGGCTGCTTAGTGCCCAGACACGGATGACGTACTCAAGCAGGAGCACTGAGTGAAGATATCTAACGCTGTCTTGCGACAAGTGTGGGGAAGGGACGTGTGTCGACGCTTTATGTCGACCGGGTGACGCTTGTCGACCGGGTAAGTTGTGTTCAGCATTCCGGGGAACAATTATCCAGACTTGAGTCGCGTGTTTGAGACTTCTTGCCACATGTTCCCTACCGGCGACTTCCAGCCGTCGTCGGGGACGACATTAGCTGTCAACCTCTGTCTCTCTTGCCTGAGACATGTCTGACAGGGTTCAGGGGAGAGGGGAGTGCGCCTGACAGGGTTCAGGGGGGAGGGGGAGGCGCCTGACAGGGTTCAGGGAGGGAGACGCAGGTCACCAGCAGGGAGATGATCTGGGGAACTGCCAGCGAGAGACGGGTACATGGTTTGAGAGGCCGCCCTCTGTCAGTTCTCCACTTTGAACCTGAAGGGTTCTGTTTTAACTGTGTGTGTCTCTGTGTGTAGAGCTTGGAGGTCTACCACTGGTCTCTCCAAGTTACTACCTGCAGTAGGGTAAGGGTCAAGTTACTACCTGCAGTAGGGTAAGGGTCAAGTTACTACCTGCAGTAGGGTAAGGGTCGAGTTACTACCTGCAGTAGGGTAAGGGTCAAGTTACTACCTGCAGTAGGGTAAGGGTCAAGTTACTACCTGCAGTAGGGTAAGGGTCAAGTTACTACCTGCAGTAGGGTAAGGGTCGAGTTACTACCTGCAGTAGGGTAAGGGTCGAGTTACTACCTGCAGTAGGGTAAGGGTCAAGTTACTACCTGCAGTAGGGTAAGGGTCAAGTTACTACCTGCAGTAGGGTAAGGGTCAAGTTACTACCTGCAGTAGGGTAAGGGTCAAGTTACTACCTGCAGTAGGGTAAGGGTCAAGTTACTACCTGCAGTAGGGTAAGGGTCAAGTTACTACCTGCAGTAGGGTAAGGGTCAAGTTACTACCTGCAGTAGGGTAAGGGTCCAGATATGACACACGCAGTGATCATCTGACTTACCTCACCTAATTGTACTCACCTACTTGTGTTTGAAGGGGTTAATTTTCGGCTCTTTGATCCCGCCTCTCAACAGACAATCAACTGGTGTACAGATTCCTGATCCTATTAGGCTCTATGATATCTATATATGAAACTGTGTATGGAGTCAGTCTCCATCACATCACTGCCTAATGCATTCAATTTGTTAAGTACTGACACTAAAAAAGTTCTTTTTAATATCTCTATGGCTCGTTCGGTTACTCAAGTTCCACCTGTCCCCCCTTGTGCGTGTTCCTCCTGTGTTAAATAAACCGGTTCATCTCACCAATTCCTCTGGGAATCTTGTATGTAGTAATCATGTCTTCTCAAACTCTTCCTTCTTCTTTGAGTCTCTCCTCTTAGCTCCTACCCCTTAGCTCCGGTACTAATCTAGTGACAAATCTTTGAACCTCCAATTTGATCATTTCCTTGACTAGATACGGACTCCACGCTGGAGCCGCTCATTGTAAAATTGGTCGGACATTCGTGGTATACAAGGTTGTAAATTATTTCTTACTCAAGTTCGTAAAGGCAGTTCTTATGTTGACCAACCTGGCATGTGCTGAGGTCCGTAAGGATGCGGACCATGCCGCGCGTCGTGTCTCCTGGTGCTGTTTCGCTGAGCAGAGCAAGAAGAGTTGACCCTCATACACCTCACATTTAGCTCTCGCCATATTTGTGAGTGATATATGTCTTGAAGTTATCTTGAGGTTATCTTGAGGTTATCTTGAGGTTATCTTGAAATGATTTCGAAGCTTAGCGTCCCCGCGGCCCGGTCTTGTACCTGGCCTCCTTTTTGTTACACACCCCCAGGAAGCAGCCCACAACAGCTGTTAAACTCCCAGGTACCTATTTACTGCTAGGTGAACAGGGGGCATCAGGGTGCAAGAAACTCTGCCCATTTGTTTCCGCCTCCACCGAGGATCGAACCCAGAATCTCATGACTACGAATCCGAAGCGCTGTCCACTCAGCTGTCAGACCCTTTTGTCCCAATGTGTCTATGTCCCAATAGACGTCTCTGTAATAGATTCATTGCACACACAAATGTGACACCCGAGCATCACACCGAGCTCAATGTTTCCCCTTTGATTCTGGCAGAGACTGGGAGCTGTGTTAATTGATTGGTGGCCATTTTTAAAGTGTTAAGTGAGGTTCGTTTCCCCAAGAGAAGCCATTATCATTGAGTGCTTCCCTCGCGGCTGTGTTCGGATTATCAATGGAAGAACAACAATTTACACTAATTCAACTCCAAGTGTATTAGTAATTACGTTCGTGAATGAATACTCGAACGTTTAAAACGTTCGTGAGCGTTTGTTGAGCTTTACCGCTGACGTTTTCGTATTCCGTTACTCTCCTTCCTTGAGAAATTGCCACTAAAGCCTTTCGTTGTTCCAGTAAATGGCCCTAGCTATTATTCCCTATTAACAAATGCGATGAGAACCTTTTATAGGTTATCATTGCTTAAGTTCTGCATAAGGGAGAACCTCACTACCAAGTACCTCGCGACCTTTGAGTACTGTTATCTTGCTGTTATCTTGCATTGGTCTCTGGGTATCAACGTCCCCGCGGCCCGGTCTCTAACCAGGCCTCCTGGTTGATGGTCTGGTCCACCAGGCTTACCTGGGTCGTACCTGGGGAACATGTGCCACTGTTCTGGTAATGATATATTGATATATATGTGAGAAAGCTGCATGAACGCGCAAGCCATATATCACTAAGAACTCTTTGACCCGGCCAGGATTCGAACCCATGCCGTCCAGGATCACCCCTAAACGTACACAGTACCGTGACCACCGCACCAATGATCGTCTAGATCATTGGTGCGGTGGTCACGGTACTGTGTACGTTTAGGGGTGATCCTGGACGGCATGGGTTCGAATCCTGGCCGGGTCAAAGAGTTCTTAGTGATTGATATATATATATATATATATATATATATATATATATATATATATATATATATATATATATATATATATATACCGTATATAAACATATGGTGTTGTACCGTGGAAGGTGTAGAGGAGAGAGCAACATCCCTCAAGTATTAAGACTACTCAATAGAGCTCGGTCGATAGAGCCTCAGCCACACACGCATGGGGTCCAGAGTTCGAGTCTCCTAGAGCCCAGATGTTTGGAGTCCCACAGGTGTTTGAGTGTCAACACATGTAACATACAAAACTTTGCTATTGTGGTCATAACGGGGATTATCAGGCACAAAATATAACTTTCATCATACACTCTTTTTATAAGTGACTAGAAATAACACTGACGGCGGAGTCATAATATTAATTAAAGTATAAAAACAAAAATCTACAATGAAAAGTGAACGTGATATTGTGAACGTCGACTTTATATTTATGAGAATCAAAGATAATAAGTTTTAAACCGTTATGGGAATCAAAGATAATAAGTTTTAAACCGTTATGGGAATCAAAGATAATAAGTTTTAAACCGTTATGGGAATCAAAGATAATCATTATTATAAGGCAATCGTAGGCATAAGATCACCTACTAAACTACTTATTATTAAGAAAGAAATCTGTGATAAATTAGCAAAATTTTCTATGAATATAGAAATTATAGTTGACGATCAAATTTCAAGTCACTCGACAAACACTGGAAATTAGTTTTTCTATAATTTGTTGGAAAGTTCTTATTGCTAAAAGTGCTAAAAGTGTTAGTGCTAAGAAAGTGCTAAGAAAGTGTTAGTGCTAAGAAAGTGCTAAGAAAGTGTTAGTGCTAAGAAAGTGCTAAGAAAGTGTTAGTGCTAAGAAAGTGCTAAAAAAATCCAGGTGCTGATAATGAGCATACTCAGGGTATAATTTTAATTACTAGTAAGTCAATCAAATAATGCAATGGTTGATGAAGAATTAGTTCCCTGTTAATCATAATTTCAATACAATTGTTGTATTCTTGAAAACTCTATTATCATTACTTCGATTTTTTCTCGTTGTATTTTTGTGTCAAAGGTGAGGGCTAACTTAGCCTAGATTAAGTTAGGATAGATTATGTTAGCTAGGTTAGGTTAGGTTATAACAGGTTAGGTAATTATAGGTAAGGTTGGGTAAGATTAGGTTGGGGGAATTTAAGTTAGGTTAGTTAAGGGTAAACAAAGCTGGGTTAGGTTAGGTTAGGTTAGGGTTTGTTGAGGGAAACTTGGTCTTGTTAATGAAATACCGAGAAACCATCATGCAAGACTATATTTCACTTCTGTTCAGAAAATATAATAAATACGGTGAAATAAACAAGATGCCATAAACAAGATGCCATAGACAAGATGCTATAAATAAGATGCCATGAACAAGATACCATAGACAAGATGCCATAAACAAGATGCCATAGACAA